GGAGGGGCGGGGCTGAGCTGAAGCCGCAGGAGGCGAACCTGCCGGCCCCAAACGGGTGGGCGGAGCGGGTAGCGGCCCAGGCAGAAGACGAGGCTTGACGCCAGGCCTGGGGTCCGTGGATGGAGAGGCGAGAGGGGCTTGCGAAATCGGGAAGCTAACGCAGACAACCGAGGGGCAGAGGTGAAAAGGCCGCCGGCCTGGGTAGGGGGCAGGATGCGCTGCCCGCCTGACACCTCCCCCAATGCCCCGCGCCCGCAGTCCCATCTCCTCCGAAGGGAACGAGCTCCTCGTCCAGTTCGTCTCGGACCTCAGCGTCACGGCCGACGGCTTCTCGGCCTCCTACAGGACCCTGCCGCGGGGCGCCACCGAAGGAGGGCCAGGCCCGGGCCCGAAGCCCGGAGTCGGGCCCAAAGTCAAGCCCGAAGTCCCACCTGAGGAGAAACCGAAGGCCGCGCCTAAGGCAGAGGCAACTCCGGTGGGCCCCGGTGAGTCTGGAAAGGCAGAGGAAGCGGCCGCAGACTGAAGGGAGTTGTATCCGAGTTCCTTCCTGCGCTCATTCATTCATTCAATACAGCACCCACGGGTGCCGCCTCCGTGCTAATGGCTGGTACTGGGTGCTGGGACACGAAGCTGGATAGAGCTCTGAACAAGTTCAAAGCAATGAGGCTTTTGTGGGGAAAGTGGTCCTTCCTACCTGCTGGGTAGGTTACCCTCCACCAACAGTGCCCCCCTCCCCCCCCACCAGATGCACCCAGTGTCTCCTGCCCAAAACAGTGCCGGCGGGCAGGCACCTTGCAGAGCCACTTCTGTAACAGCGACCTGGGTAAGCGGCCCCATCCCCCAGCTCTGCCCTTCCAGCTCCTCTAACCTCCCCTCCTGTCCCCAAAGCCCCCCTCCTTCTGGTTCCAGCCCTGCCCTGGCCTCCCGTCTCCTCACCTCTCCCTCTCTCTCCCACAGTGGTGACGGGAATGATGAAGTCCATGGTTCGGGGCCCAGGGGAGGGCCTCACAGTCACTGTCAGTCTCACTGGTGTTTACAAAACCGGAGGCCTGGACCTGCCCTCTCCCCCCACTGACACCTCCCTGAAGTTTTATGTGCCCTGCAAGCAGTGCCCCCCCATGAAGAAAGGTAACAGAGATGTGGGAAAATGTAGAGGGGGACTTAGCCTCATGAAAATGATGGAGGCAGTAGAATCTGAGGGACTGGGATGAGGGGGTACATCTATAAGGTCTCAGTTACACAAACTCTCAATCCCTTCCTCCTCTTCCCTAGGAATCAGTTATCTGCTGATGGGCCAGGTGGAAGAAAACAGAGGTCCGATCCTTCCTCCAGAGAGCTTCGTGGTTCTCTACCGGCCCACCCAGCACCAGATCCTCACCAACCTCAGCAAGAGGTGCCCCTCCAAGCCTGTTCAGGCTGCTGTATCCCAAGCCTGAGCCCAGGCCAGCCTCCGGACCCTGGCCCTAGGGACCCCTTTCTTATTCAAATAAATGTTTCTAGACTTGAGGAAGGGGTCACATGTCCATTTGTATGGTTTTGGTGCTCCTCTGGGGATTTGTTTTCATTCATTCATTAAACTCAACAGTTACTATACAGAAGAATGTAAGTCAAATCTTGTCACCCCTTTGCTCAAAATTCTCCCGTATTCTCAACACACACAGAAAATGCTAACTACGTGGAGGTGATGGATATGTAAATTAGCTTGATTGTGGTGATCTTTTCACAATGTCTACATATATCAAAACACCAAGTTGTACACCTTAAATATATACAATTTTTATATGTCAAAGATATCTCAATAAAGCTGTTTAAAAAAAAAGAAATTAAGGGAATTCCCTGGCAGTCCAGCACTTTCCCTGCTGAAGGCTGGGGTTCAATCCCTGGTTGGGGAACTAAGATCCTGCAAGCTGCCTGGGGCAGCCAAAAAGAAAAAGAAAAAAAAAAAAGGAATTAAAACAACTCTTCCATAGTTTCCCATCAGTCTCAGCTTAAAATCCGAAGTCCTACTGTGGGCTCTAAGGCTCTAGGTGATCTGTGTCCTCCCTCTCACCTCATCTCATCTCTGAATATTGTCTCCCTTACAATCTCTTCCATCACACTGGCTCCTTGGCCATTTCTAGTACACACCTGCTTCCGGGCTTTGGCTTTGCCTTTGCTGTTCCCTCTATGCGGAATTCTCTTCCACAGACATCTCCTGGCTCACTTCCTAACTTCAGTGACATCTCAGCTCAGAAGTTCATCCTAGTCACCCATTCATTTGTGCATTCCAAATGGCAGGCACTGTTTTCGGTGCTGAAAATACAACAAAACAAAGTCGCTGCTCTTGTGGACAGGAGAGTAAATTCTATCTGAGCAGAGATAAACTAAAATAAACATGATGTCAAGTAGCTCTAGGAGTGCTCTGAAGAAAACAAAAGCATGATAAGAGGACAGGCAAAGGGAGATTCTACATTTGATAGGGTGCTTAGAGAAGGCTTTCAGGTAACTTTGTTTTGCTCCGCTGCTAACCAAATGCGTGAGATTCTTCACCTTGTCGAGCCTGTTTCCTCGTCTGTAAGGGGAGCTGAAGATTCTGAATACTAATTCCCTCCGCAAATATGAGTGATTTCAAATATGAGTTCCGTGCAGGAAGGAATCAAGAGAAGTGCCCTGGGCTACGAACCGAGTCCAACTGGGAGCAACCTCCAACTCGTACTACAGAAAACGGCTTTCGTTGCTGCGGAAGCGTCTAGGAGAACCTGGGACTGAAGTGGAGAAAGAGGGATCCCTTGTGGGATGTGATTCTAGTGATTTGGACGGCCTCAGAGTGGGGAGAAAGGAACAAAGCCTGACTCCCATCCTCGCCCGGGCCCCTCCCCCCCGACCTCGCCGCCCGACTTATTCCAGGATTAACGTTCTAGCCAGAGACGCTCGTAAAGTTTTACGTCACTGGGATCAAGCCAATCACCTCTTTAGGTGCACCAATCGGTGTATACTTTGAGCTGAAATGAGGCCGTCCTGGCCAATGACAGAGGTCGTACGGCGGAAGAGCAGAAACGGTCTGCCGGGAAGATGGCAGCCCTGGTCCGGACACAGGTTGATTGGCAGGTGCTGTGACCAGAGGTGAGCTTCATAGCGTGAGCGGCCGTTCGGAGGCGGAAGCCCGAAGAAGCGCGGGCCCGAACTCAAGGGGGATCGGAGGCACAGATACAGGTCTCGGGAGAGCAGGAGACGGAGAGGGCAACTCCGGAAGAGGGCGCGGAGGCCACCGGAATTGGGCCGAAGAGAGGGGCGGGTGCCCCGGGAGGCCCGGAAGGGGCGGGGCGGGGCGGGGCTTATAGAGATCGGGAACTGGGGCTGAAGACTAGGGCCAGGGCTGGGAGCCGGGAGGGGCTGGGTTTACGGGGTGGGCGTGACCCTCGAGGTAGGGCTTGGGGGCGGGGCCTAAAGGGACCTGAGGGACAGCTGTGGAGAGGAAGGGTTTGGGGGGCCTGGGCCTGGCCTGCGGGGCCTTCATCTAGGGGGATTCCGAGGCGGCGGTGGCATCAGTCCAGGCCCTGCCCTACGATCTCATCCCGTTCCCTTTCGCCCCTCTCGCCCCTCGGCTTTATACTCCAGGCCCTGTCCCCTGAGCTCTGCCCTCGGATGTTCCACCGCCCAGAGCTTGCATGCGCCGTGGGGCGCCCCAGGACCAGGAGCTGGTGGGTCCGGGGGCTCCTGGGCGGGGGTCCCGGGGCGCCCCTCCTCCCTCGGGACCTGTTGTCCCGGTCCTCGTCTTTCCCCCGGATCTAGTATTCAGGGCGGACCAGCGGAGTGGATCTCGGCAGCTGCTGACCCTCTATAACCCCACGGGAGCAGCGCTTCGCTTCCGAGGTGATGGGGATGGGCGCTTCGTGCTAGGGATCTGGAGGCTGGCGGTAGAACACTGGGGAGCTGGGTGGGCTGGAGCAGTCAGATGAGTACGGTCGGATGTCCAGCCCTGGGGTAGAAGGCAGGGGGGACTCCATGGGCGCGGCTTGTGCAGGTTGTCTGAGGCAATAGTCGGTCTCTGTGTGCCTTTTCCCCTCAGTCCTGTGCACAGCACCTGCCAAATACACAGTGTTTGACGCGGAAGGATATGTGAAGCCTCAGTCCTGCATTGACATGTGAGTTGAGAGGGGTGGGGAGGCTGATGAAAGCCAGGGGTCGCTGCCACCTTTCTCTGATTTACTGTGCCGTGGCTTAAGCCTCAGACCAGGTCCTCTTCAACCTGTTTACCCCACCCTCTGTCTGTGTCCCTAAGGGAAAGTTTCCTGGGAGGGTGGGGCCTGGATCCTCTTGGATCACTGCCTCTCACTGCCCTTCAATGGGCCGCTCTCCTTTCTTGGGACCAGTGTGATTCGCCACGTGGCCCCCAATCCCAGCCACTATGACGTCCAGGACCGCTTCCGCATTGAGCTATCTGAGGAGGGAACAGACGGCCGAGTGGTGGGGCGCAAGGACATCACCTCGGTTCTGAGGGCCCCAGCGAACCCCCTTGAGCTTCAGGGACAGCCTGACCCAACGCCGCACCCACCGCACCCAGAGCCTCCTTCCTGGACAGCACCACCCACGGCTCAGCACTTCCCAGAGAGTGAGTTTAGGGATGGGAATTCTTGAGTTCTGTAAGGAGGGAGGACCTAGCATGACCCTAGAGATGAGTTCGGTTGGAATTGAAGAGGTCTTCCGGTTCAGTCTTTTTTTTTTTTTTTCTTTTGGCTGTGCCTGGTGGCTTGCGGGATCTTAGTTCCCCAACCAGGGATCAAATCCAGGGTCCTGGCAGTGAAAGAGTGGGCTCCTAACCACTGGACCGCCAGGGAATTCCCTTCCATTTGTTCATTTTTTTTTTTTTTTTTTTTCTTTTGGCTGTGCCTGGTGGCTTGCGGGATCTTAGTTCCCCAACCAGGGATCAAATCCAGGGTCCTGGCAGTGAAAGAGTGGGCTCCTAACCACTGGACCGCCAGGGAATTCCCTTCCATTTCAGTTTTCTGCTTTTTCGTAGAAACATTTCTAGGAATTGAGATTTTATATCGGGTTAGGAAAAAAGCAGACTTTGCAGTTTCCTTGGTTTCTGGCCTCCACTTAAAGAGAAAAATTCTTCCTTTAGCTCTGACTTCAGTACTTCCCATCATGTGTCAGCTCAGTTCAGTTCAGTAAGAAACCGGGGGCTTCCCTGGTGGCAGTGGTTGAGAATCCGCCTACCAATGCAGGGGCCACGGGTTCGATCCCTTACCTGGGAAGATTCCCACACACCACGGAGCAACTAAGCCTGTGCGCCACAACTACTGAGCCTGTGCTCTAGAGCCCGCGAACCACAGCTACTGAGCCCACGTGCCACAACTACTGAAGCGCGCGCACCTAGAGTCCGTGCTTCGCAACAAGAGAAGCCACCGCACTGAGTAGCCCCCACTCACCGCAACTAGAGAAATCCCTCACGCAGCAACAAAGACCTGACGCAGCCAAAAATAAATAAATAAATTTATAAAAAAACAAATAAATAATAAGAAACCGGGTTGAGCAATTATGTACCAAGTTGTGGGAGACAGAGGTCCCTGCCTGGCACACAGATACACAGGAGCCTGTAATCAAGGCAGAGTTGAGGAGAGAAAACGAATGATGAGGGACCAGAGGGGAGAGGGTTTCCTGAGGCTTGGGGAACGAAGGCTCCAGGGAGGAGAGGACACTTCCAATGTCCAACAGAAAGTGGGTACACCTTCCATCTGCAGCCTCCTCCCTGAAGGGCGTTGGGCTGGGCAGGAGTGGAGGCCAGAGATGCTGATGGGCCTTGTTTCCCAGACCCCGTCCCGCACCTGGCCACCAGCTCCTTCCTCCTCTTCTTGCTGATGGGCACAGTCTCTGTGGCCTTCCTGCTGCTGCCGCTCCAGGATGAACTTGGCAGCCAGCTGCCCCAAATCCTTCACGTCTCCCTGGGACAGAAGTTGGTGGCAGCCTACGTCTTGGGTGAGCACGGTGGTGGCAGGGGATCCGGGCCCAGAGAGAGGAGAGCGGGGGCTGGAAAGAGGGCGTACAGAGCCGGCGGGCTACACATATGACCTTGCTCTTCCTCCCGTCTCCAGGCCTCCTGACCATGGTGTTCCTCCGAACCTGAGCTCCCTGCTCAACCTCCACGCCCCCTCCCCAGGCAGGGACGTGGACCTGGACGTGGACATGAGACATTCACTGTGATGCTCATAACCTTGCCTCAACTCCTACTTCCTTCTTCCTGCCCATCCCCTTCCCCCCAAAACCCAGGGATTTGTATTCGTTTTCCAAGCTGAGTAAAATAAATTTGTAGAATTGCACTGAGAAATGTAAGGAACACGCCCCTTTCTTCCCACTCCTCTCCTCCAGTTCCTCCCACTCCCAGGGGACCTCGAACATCAGGGAGCGAAGAGACCCAGTGAGGATTTAGAAGATCAGAGTCTTAGGCTTGGTGCTGCACCGGAAAAAACTGTGTGACCTTGAGCAAGTCATTGAATTTCTCTGAGCTTCAGTTTCTGTCTCTAAAATCAGGGAATTGGGAAAGTTGATTCTTAAGATCCCGCTTAGCCCTATCCTAGGGATGGGATCCCGCCCCTAAGCCAACATGCCTTAAGCTAAAAAGAAACAAACCCCAATACCATCTACTCCCACCTGCTATAGAACTCAGGTCCCGCCATCTTGAGCCATTAGAGCCTCTTGCCAGGGTTGCCTGGGGGCTTCCCCCCCCACCCCCACCCCCAGAATCCTCTTCTGCCTTTTTGTCCCTTTACCTGCTTTTATTTTGTCTCTTCCTTTGACCTCAACCCCTGTGGGTCAGAAACACCAAGGTCTCTGACAAGATGGGGACAGATGCCACTGCCTGCCATAGCCTCAGCCTAACCAGGCAGGAGAAGTTAGGGCAAAGGAAAAGAATAGGCTCCTTGAAAGGCAGGCTTCCAGCCCTCCCTCAGATGTAAGGTGAGAGGGGAGGAAAGGAAGAAGGGAAGCCAAAGACACTGGCAGTTTGTTGATTGGGAACAAAAATTAGCAAGATAACGTTAAGACAGACTCAGTCTGTTATGCTGCTGGAAGGTTATCAGTTGTTCCAGCTTTACTTTGGGGGCCTTGGGAGCTGCCCCTCTGCCCTGGGGACCTGGCCCTTCCCACACCCAGAACTGGCCCCGGTGACATGTGAGCCTGATCCTGTGCAGAGAATGGCAGCCTGTGTCTAGGATGTGAGGGCTCTCCCCGCGGCCCAACAAACCCCTCACAAAACCATCCACACTGGGCTGTCTGTGCCCAGGACCCCAAAAGGCATCTGAGGTATCGCACGTTAATGATCTTGCGGATATCTGCTGGGAAACGGCCTTGCTGCCAGCGGGATCAGGAGGCTTTCTGAGACAAAGCTATGAAGGGCAGCTATAGGGGTGGGAGGGGCTTGGGTCACAGACATTTTTTTTTTTTTTTTTCAGTATGCGGGCCTCTCACTGTTGTGGCCTTTCCCATTGCGGAGCACAGGCTCCGGACGCGCAGGCTCAGCGTCCACGGCTCACGGGCCCAGCTGCTCCGCGGCATGTGGGATCGTCCCGGACCGGGGCACGAACCCGTGTCCCCTGCATCGGGAGGCGGACTCTCAACCACTGTGCCACCAGGGAAGCCCCACAGACATTTTTTTAAGTAAATTTCTTAGAAAACAATACTGAGCTGGCAGTAATTGGAGTGGGTGGGTGTTAGTTTCCTGTGGCCGGCTGTAACAGGTTATCACAAACTAGTGGCTTAAGACAACATAAATTAATTCTCTTACGGTTTTGGGGGTCCGAACTCCAAAATGAGTCTTCTGGGGATGAAATCAAGGTGTCAGCAGGGTTGGTTCCTTCTGGAGGCACCTGGGGAGGATGTTTCCTTGACGAAATTTTCGAGTTTCTAGAGGCCATCTGCACTCCTTGGGTGGTGACCCCTTCCTCCATCTTTAAAGCCAAAGAGTGGAAATAACAAATGGTCACAGTTTTAAGTCACTAAAAAAAAAAAACAAAAAAAAAAGCCAGGAGTGTAGCATCTTCAAATCTCTGACTCTGACCCTTTGCTTCTGTTGTCACATCTCCTTTCTCTATCTCTGATCCTCCTGCCTCCTTTAATAGGGACCCTGAGGACTTCCCTGGTGGCGCAGTGGTTAAGCATCTGCCTGCCAATGCAGTGGACACGGGTTTGAACCCTGGTCCGGGAAGATCCCACATGCCGCGGAGCAAGTAAGCCTGTGCGCCACAACTGAGCCCACGCGCCACAACTACTGAAGCCCATACGCCTAGAGCCCGTGCTCCACAACAAAGAGAAGCCACCGCAATGAGGAGCCCGCGCTCCGCAACGAAGAGTAGCCCCCGCTCGCTGCAACTAGAGAAAGCCTGTGCGCAGCAATGAAGACCCAACACAGCCCTAAATAAATAAATAAATAATAAAAATAAGGACCCTGGTGATTACGTCCCCCACCCCCACCCCCAGCATAATCACCCTGTGTCACTTTGCTAAGGCTGCCACAGACTTGGTGGCTTAAAAAACAGAAATTAATTCGATCACAGTTCTGGAGGCTAGTGTCCAAGACAAGCCGCCGACAGGTTTGGTTTTTCCTGAAGCCTCTCTCCTTGACTTGCAGGTGGCACCCTTCTCACTGTGTCCTCACATGGTCTTTCTCCTGTGCATGCACATCCTTGGTGTCTCTCCGTGCATCCAATTTCCTCTTCTTATAAGGAGGTCAGTCAGATTGGATTAGGCTCATTCTGATGGCCTCATTTTAACTTAATCACTTCTTTTTTTTAATTTTGGCTGTGTTGGGTCTTTGTTGCTGCGCGCGGGCTTTCTCTAGTTGCGGCAAGCGGGGGCTACTCTTCGTTGCGGAGCGCGGGCTTCTCATTGCGGTGGCTTCTCTTGCTGCGGAGCACAGGCTCTAGGCGTGCAGGCTTCAGTAGTTGCAGCATGCGGGCTCAGTAGTTGTGGCACGCAGGCCCTAGAGCACAAGGGCTTCAGTAGTTGTGGTGCGTGGGCTCAGTAGTTGTGGCTTGCGGGCTCTAGAGCACAGGCTCAGTAGTTGTGGCACACAGGCTTAGTTGCTCCGCAGCACATGGGATCTTCCTGGACCAGGGCTTGAACCCGTGTCCCCTGCATCGGCAGCCGCTTAGCCACCAGGGAAGTCCTTTAATCACCTTTTTAGAGGCCCTGTCTCCAAACACAAACACATTCTGAGGTACTAGAGGTTAGGGTTTCAACATATGAACTTGGGGGGAAACAATTCAGCCCCAAACCCTCCCCATCTCAAGATCCCTGACTTAATCACCTCTGCAAAGCCCTTTTTGTCGTGTAAGGTAACGTTCATTCACAGATTCTGGGTATTAGGATGTGGACATCTTTGTCCAGAACTTTATTCTGTCTACTACAGGGAGCAAATGGACAAGGTGGAGAAGGGCTGAGAAACGACTTTGGGAAACTTGTTCTGGACAGTATGTCCGGGAAGTAAGGCATCGAGGAGGCTTCTGACCCCTAGTCCAGGCTCCTGAGAGCCCACCAAGTCCGACTCAGGGAGGTAAGGAGGAGGCAGTTTCATCTTGGAACCCAGGAGCATCCCAAGCCATAAACTAAGAAGCCTTCCCTTCCCAGCATCTGAGGAGCAGGCTAGGACTTCTCACGCCATATTGGGAGCAAGAGAGGACCAGGAGCCTGAGAGGCGGACCCTATGATTTATGCAGCTGCCGGGAAGAACGAGGGCAATAGCCTCCTGAGACCATGATTAAAGGTAAAGTGGTGCCAGCAGCACCTGTAATTCCCTGCTGTCCTGCAGCTTCCACCTCAGTGGACAACAATTGGCCAAAGGGGACCCAAGAGGGGAGAGAGGTCCCAGGCTGGGCTAATATAATGGCTGTGTAATCACTGCAGTTTCACAGGGCTCTGTGCTCCAAATGGGGCCCTGTGCTTGGGGGTTAGTGCCCTGCAGTCTCTATCTTGAAATTCTTAATGATTTCACCTCTGAACTTGTGTTTTGGAAGTGCAGCCCGATGAGACAGTGGAGCATGTGCTGGGGGTCCTGCCTCCCCTGGATGGGTTCTCACCTGTTGGCTCCCTGCCCCCACCCAACCACAGCTGCCACCCTCCTTCCCCAGTAGGGACCTGGGTGCAGGCAAACGGAGGGTCCAGGTCTGGGTCTGGGTCAGGGATGGGCACATGTGCTATCTGTAGCAAGTCATGGGGCAGAACCCTGCGTGCCTATGGGGATCTGCCCCAGAGTATATCCTGTCTCAGGGATCTGGACATTAAATAACAACTTAAAAACCACCATGACAGGTTGAGAGACTGTGGAAGAAAGAAAAAAGCTTTGTTCTTGCTTTTTAAAAACAATTTTTTTGGGGGGGGGGGGGCTGTGCCTTATAACATGCGGGATCTTAGTTCCCTGACCAGGGGGTGAACCCACACCCCCTGCACTGGGAGTGTGAAGTCTTAAGCACTGGACCACCAGGGAAATCTTGCTTTATGAACAAAAGGCCCCACGTTTTCATTTTGTACCAGGCCTTGCAAATTATGTAGCCGTCCCTGGTCCCAGGAGAAGGTACAGAGCCAGCCCCCGACCCGTGGTGGTCTTTGGAGAAGGGTCCTCCTTATTTCCTCAGGCAGTTTCCTTAGTTCCTTAGGTAACGGGAACAGCTCTTTAACCCATGGAGACAGCATTCCCACTTGCATCCTCTCTGGCCCCTTCTGCCCAACCCTTCCCTAGCTCTCAAGGGAGGGATGACAGAGTGAGGTGAGGGTGAGGAAGACGCATAAAAGTGCCTGTAAACAACAGATGCCACAGGTGGTTTATTGAGGTTCAAACCCCAGCCCCTCCCACTGCAGGACATGGGTTGGCCATAAAGTTATGGTCCCAGCAGATCTTTCCCACCAAGAAGGCTGGCCAGGTCCCAGGGCCTAGGAAACCTTCAGAGTGGTCTCTAGCTGTAGAGGGGGGACCCTACTCCTGAAGAGGAAGGGGCTGTGATTGAGAGAGCAGATGCTGCTCCCTGATTAGCTGACAGTATGACCATCCCATTATGGAAGGCACTGCTCACCTACTCCTACGTTGCAGGGCCTGGGGTGTGTGGGTGTGTGCGCTGGCGTCATTGCTGGGGCCCTTGGAGGTACAGTAAGGGCTAAAAATGAGTCAGCAATGGGAGGTGGTGCACAGGCATCTCGGTCACCCAGAAATCACTCGAAGGGAGAGCAGGCGCTCTCGGCAGGGGTCATGGGCATGTGCCCCGCCCCCACCAGCCCACGGGCCTCAGAAGTTGTTATCGATGTTCCAGACGTCCCCGCTCAGCGCGTTG